CTGTGGTGGCGGTGGGCCAGAGTCCCGCTCTCCTCGCCGCAGAGCAGGCAGCGGTCGTCGATGTCGGTGCCACGCTTGGCCAGCCTGGCCTGCGGCCATAGTGACAGAGACGCCAGCCTGCGCAGGCAGCCGCAGTGGTGGCTGGACCACGTCTCCGTGGGCGCGGCGCCGAGGAGCTGGTTGATGGCCCGCCAGTTTGGCGGCAGCTGCCACGGCCACAGGGTATCAGGCCTGGCGTCGTACTCCTGGAAGGCTGCCGCCTTCCTGGCCGCCTCCTTGGCCTTCTCCGCAAGGAAGGCGGGGGAGTACCGAAGGACGGAGTAGCAGCAGCCGAACTCGTCCTGCAGGGAGTCGCCGTCGTCGCTGAGGCCCCAGCCGATGACCTGCAGCGTGAGCACCAAGGCCGAGATCGGGTCCCTGACGGCAGCCCAAGGGCGCTGGAGCCTCACGATCCTGGCGCTCTCCGCTATGCAGGCCTGGATCGCCGCCGCGGAGGCCTGGCCTGCCCAGCGGACATTGGTGTACGCTAGGACGGCCAAGCCCGTGGCCACCACTAGCGGGTCCTGGCGCCAGCCTCGCGGCGAGCACTGCAGCAGGAAGCCCAGCGCAGCCCCAGGAGCCAGTTTGCCCGTCGCCTTGGCCGCTGCCAGCCTCAGGGCTCTCATGCGGCCAGGCGGGATGCCGTTGCAGGCCGAGCCCCATAGGGCTTTGGCTGAGGGGCCCGCGCGCAAGACCCTTGCCTGCCGAAGGCCAGGCCCGAAGATCTTGTGGAGCCTGCTGGCCTGCCGCAGCGCCGCGAGCTCTCTACCGACCTGAGTCGCGACTCGCCTGTGGCTGCCAGCCGTGGCGTCGACGCCGAGGTCACGGTGGCCCGAGACAAAGGCCTCTGCCGCGAGCCGCCAGTCGGGTTCCCGCTGCAGGCGGCGCTGGAGGCCCGCCGTGGAGGCCAGGACCTTCGTCTTCTTCCAGTTGATGGGCAGCCGCCTGTCCGCCAGCATCTCGACCACGCCGCTGACGAAGCTCGCGATCGTTCGGCTGAGCGTCGCTGCCGACCCGATGCCGTGGCCTGCTATGTCGTCGATGACGTTGACGACCCTGCCGGCTGGCAGCAGCGCCCTGGCCTGGAGCAGGAGGCCGTGCAGCATGAGCCTGGCCAGCGTCGTCGCGCAGGAGCAGCCCGCGATGATGGTGCCGCTGACCTCAATGGGCTCGCTGATGGCGGCGTCCGCCGAGGCGCGGCGCGGCCCAGCGTAGAGTACGCAGAGGGCCCTGAGCAGACCGACGCTGAAGCCGTTGCCCTCCGCGGCCTGGCGCAGAAGGTCATGGTCGATCCGCTCGTAGAACTTGCTGATGTCGAAGTAGACGGAGGCTGCCTCGAAGCCAAGCTGGCGGGCGAGCGCGAGCCCCAGGTTGTGGAGGTAGGCCGCCCTGTCACAGCAGGTGTTCGCGTCCTTGCCCCAGACCTCGGGGAGCGGGTGGTCCGCCTCCCACTTGGCGCAGTAGCGGCGGCGCACCCTGCTCCAGATACGCGCCCACATGCTCATGATGCCGATCGGGCGGCGGCCTCCGTCGGGCTTCCCCAGGAAGACGATCACCGTGGTGAAGAAGGCTGTGGGCTGTGGCTGCTGCTCCCAAGCCGTGAGCACCTCTGCCATCCTCTCGGCGAAGGGCCTGCCCAGGGAGAGGACCAGCCGCGGGTGGAACGCATCCCAGCCCAGAGCGGTCTGCTTCGGGAACGATTTCGCCGCCTCGAGGATTTCGTCCGCCGTGATAGGGGGCAGCTCCATGGAGCAGATCCAGTCGGCTGGTCTGGACCTGCACTCCCCGTCGGCACCTTTCCAAAGGGCCTTCCACTCAATGAGGATCGGTCCAGGGCTTGCTGGCCAACAACTGGGAGTGGCAGGCTGTCGGGGCAGTGCGCGGTCACCGAGTCCAGCACCTGGTCACGGTCCTTTATGACTGCGTGGGCGCCCTTTGCCCCCTTCGCCAAGGCCTCGTCCACGAAGTCCTTCCAGCGCAGCCTGGCCGCCTTGGCGTCTTCTTTGCGGTGCCTCTCCGTCGTGCACTCGATCATCTGCAGGAAGGCCTGCCCTTGCTCGGTGGGCTCCTGGATCACGTCTATCAGCGAGTCAAGCTTCGAGCCTTCGAACATGGCGCAACCCGCCTGCTCGAACTTGGGCCCCAAGCTCTTTGCCACCTGCACCAGGTGCTTGATGTAGCCGACGTGCCCCACAGGGGGTGAGCTGACCGCAGCAGCCGCCCTGAGCTGCCTGGCGATCCCCCCGAGGCAGAGCCAGCACTTGGTGATGGGGCTGAGCTTTCTGACAGCCTCCGTGCGCTGCAGGTCCGCCAGCTTCTTCTTGACGGTGCGGGGACCTTTGGCCCTGCCCTGGTACCTCTCTCCCTCGTAGATGCCGAACTGGTCGATCAGGTGGAGCTCCGCGGCCTCGAAGAACTCCTTGATCGCCGCATCGGGCGTGCCGTCTCTGTCGGTGATGGG